TACTATTCTCTATGTATTGTCTGAGAATATATTTACAGACATGAGAGAGAGAGAGATAGAGATGCAACTGTCGTCTATGTATTCATTGGAATTAATATGAGAGAACATTAACGGCCCATTTTAGGGTTAGGTGGAGTTAGCGTCCAACTCTTGGAAACACCTTGTGATGGTCTCAACAAGGGCTCCATCCATGTTTTCTTGTGTTGCTGCAATTCCTCTCGAGCTCTACAGAATATTCAGCGTGACACCTTAATAACATCCTCTCTCTCTCTCTCTCAATGGTCCAAATTTTATTGATTATGGTCTGTCCTAAAATTTCCCCTCTCTCTAAATGGTCCTAATTTATTGTTTGTGGTCTGCTTGTTTCTCTCTCCTTGATGGTTTTAATTTGTTGTTTGACACACTCTCTCATTGAACAGAATATGACTTCTCAATAATTGCAAGCACACACTTGCCCTGCCCTAGGTGAAAGAGCTACATATGAGGATTTTATCTTTGGGATTGTATAATATGAGACTACTTGTCTTTCTTACAACGATACCAACCATTAGACATTAATTAGATGATTTGGGGTACGTCGAACAGTTCGAGAATTTTTTTTTGAACTTGGAATCCAATCAATGATACTGTTACAACTACTTGAGTTAAAATCTAAGAGACAAAAGTACTTGTGACCTCCTTATATTAAGGTAAATGATCTCTTTGTATACTTTTTTTTTTCTTTTTTTTGCAATATAAAATTTTTGGATTTTGAATCCGTAAAACATTGATAAGCGTTTTGTCTAAAAATTGGACATTCTTTGTTCAGTCGCTTACTTCAGGCGCATCTAGAGTGTTGAGTTATTTGTATGCACAAATACATATACACATACGAACATATACACCCATATATGAAAAAGTATACAAAGAGACTATTTGCTTTTAGTATAAGGAGGACATAATCACTCTAGTCTATGAGATTTTGAATCAGATAGTTGTAAATGTATAATTGACTAGACTCAAAGTTTAATAATTTTTTTTCTCAATTTTGTGACACATCCTAAACCATCCAATTTGACAGCAAATGACTAAGAGTGATTATGACCTCCCTATAACAATGATAAATCATCTCATAATATACAATCCTTATATATGTATATGATATTGTATATTATGAACACTTAGTGCAAGGAGGTCACAATCACGTTTAGCTATTGGATGTGAAATCCAATTAACAAAAGTGTGCCACAACATTCGTAAACTTTTATTTTGGACTTTGCCCTATAATGACACATCTTTAACCACTTAATTTCAAATTTAATAGTCAATGATGATTGTGACCTCTTTGTATCAAAAGTAAATGGTTTATTTAATAATAGGGTTGGGGTCGTGGTGGTAGCACCACTTGTGCTCCAAGTAGGGTCTAGGCTTCTATTATCACATAACACATTTAAAAACCACTAATGCTTTCAAAAAATAGGTAGGGGCTCGCCATCCCCGCTGAATTACTCCAAAAAAAAAAAAAGTAAAAGTAAATGGTGACATTGTATACATTTCCTACATATACATCCCCCAAATTGTTGGCCTAAAAATACTCTTAGATTTAGTTTTACTTAAGGGAGTGTGTAGAAAATGCTCATGTGCGTGGTCCATGACTAGCCTGAATCTACATAGACTCGGGCGAGTTGCTAGATTCATCCATAGGGCGGCGAGTTTAAGGTATCCCCAAGTTGTATGAACAACTCAGGGCATATTAAAAAATTCTAAAAAAAAATTCAAATGTTGTTAAAAATATGGGAAGTGCATAAATTTTTTATATGATTTGGATGTTTTTAAAAAAGGATTGGTGAGTGTTTTTTGCGCTAATTTCTATTTTTATATTGTCCTTATTTTTAGATTTCTTTAAATCTCCCCATTTATATATCAATTTTCTTTCGCATCCATTTTGCTTGATTTTAGTTTTATTTTTTCTACCTTCATTTATTTTAAAATTTTTACTTATCTAAACTTTTTTGTCTTGTATAGGTTTCGGGCCGGTCCACTCGAACTCGCCCGAATTGGTCGGTTCAGCCAAGGGGCCAAGGTCCCTTGGTCCGCTGGCTGATAAGGGTTTATGAACTTAGCTCCCGATGATCAATTGCGGTTGATTAATCAAAATCTTATATCAAAAGGGTGAATTGCCTATAAGAAAAAAAAAAAAAAAAGTGGGTGCAGGGTAAACTACCTCAATTTAATTCTAAGAAATGAAAAAATAATATATTAAAAGTGGAAAAGCCCCTCTTCTATATATATATATATATATATATATAAGAAAATGATAGAGTCAGCCAGGCTGCTTATATAACAGTATCAGTCCAATGGTCCAAATTGAATTTGGGTCGATTTGACAGTCATGACCTCATTTCGTATTTGAATTTTTATATTTTTTGACAAATCCAAATCACTTGAAATTTTGAGTGTCTATTCTTAAATAATAGGAGAATCTAATAAAATATAAAAAATAAATTGACCAAAATACCTCCAAAACTTTTCAGAGGTATTTTGATCAATTTATATTTCTCGAATTATTTTTTTTAATATTTTTATTAGGTGTGCCTTGATGAGAAGAATGAACAACTTAAATTTTAAATGATTTGAATTTATAGAAAAAAAATTTAAATATGAAATGGGGTCGTGACTATCAGATTGGTTCGGATTAAATCTGGACCGTTGGCTGATATTGTTACGTAAGCAGCCTCTCTCTCTCTTTATATATATATATATATTTCATCAAGCCATGAATGTATTTGGGAACATATCCATATGTAAAAATGAATGAATAATAATAATAGTAATAACAAAAACAATAATGACTATAATAATCATAATTATTGTCAAAATGTTATAATTTTTTGAAACAACAATAAAGGCCTAGTAGAATTTTTAAAATTCCAAATTTCTTTGTCTTAATTTCTTTTAACCAATTAAACATAGAGAACATTCTTTGTCTTAATTTCTTGATAATTGGTTTTTTTGTAAGTAATTATAATCTTTTTAGAAGAGTAAATGTATAATGGGCAAGCTTTCTATACTTCTCCTACTATATAAAACGTATATACTTCCTCCTATCGAGCCGTCCATTCGAAATGGATGGCTGAGATGGCCCCAATCACAATGTCACGCCTCTATAGTATTTTATTTGAAATTTTGTTTCTATAAAACGTTTAGACACCAAATTTTGGGCATCCATTCCTCTCTTAAACTCGCACCTATAAAAAAAAAACAAATATTCACAATAAAATACAATGACCGAAAAGCCCCTAAAAAATGTAAGGGGTATTTTAGTCATTGTATTTTATCGGAAATATTTTTTAAATACTTGTTTTAGGTGCACCTCATTGAGATGATATCACATACCAAATTTCATATTATTTTTATAGTTTCTAGAAAAAAATTAAAAATAAAATACTATGAGACGTTAGATCTAAATCAAACGGTGAATGGTCCACTTGATTAAATTGGACTGCTGGATTGGGGGGAGTATGTATCTTTCATGCAGTAGGGAAAGTATTGGGATTGTTTTTTTTGACCAATAAAGGGGAATTATAAGGACCTTTCCCATGTATAATTTGTTGTGATTTGAACTTATGATACTCACTGATGATGAGACTCTTCGCCTTTTTGGAGGTCTGCTTCTTTTATTGATATTTGTTTCCACCATTTCCACAAGCTCGTCAAACCGGAAAGAACCACCCAAAAACCTAATCAGCTTCTTTGGAGAGAGAGAGAACATGCGCGTGTGTGTGAGAGATCACTAAGACAGGAACATGTGTGTGTGAGAGAGATCGATCTATAAGACATGAACGTGTGTGTGAGAGAGAGATATCACTAAGACATGAATGTGTATTTAAGAGAGAGAATGTTTGCACACACACAAAGAGAGAAAGATCAATATGAATGTGTATGTAAGAGAGAGAATGTTTGCACACACACAAAGAGAGAAAGATGAATAAGACATGAACACGTTTGTGTATGTGTGTGAGAGAGAGAAATCACAAAGACATAAGAATGTTTGTGAGAGACAGGTGAGAGGGAGATACGGAGAGAGAGAGATAAGTGTGTTAGAGAGAGAGAGCACAAAGACAGGCAAATGTTTTGAGTGTGTGTGTGAGAGAGAGAGAGAGGGAGAAAGATGTTCCATTTTTGAGGCAGGTAGGTATATATACCTGTTTTGAGATGATATCATACTTCCTAAAACACTGATACAATCGCCTTTCATCTTCCTTGGACATAATCACAATGCTTCTTTCTCCTTTCTTAAGTAACCAGTTTCAACAAATATGAATGAATGGGGAGAAGAAAACCTCGACTGACTTGCAATGGGAGAGAGAGAGGGGTTATTATATAAGCGTTGGTGCATGGGAATTGCATGATGCATGACAAAAGCAGCCCTCTTGCCGTTGCGTAGAAACAGGAAGAGAGATAGGCTTGCATTGCATTTGCTTCGTGTTTGAAACGAGGAGAGAGAGAGGAGTATGCTTTGCCTTTGCCTTTACTAGGTAGATAGATAGATAGAGAGAGAGAGGAGTATATGAATGTGGCCGTTACGCTGCAAAGGCATATGGAAACCGTTTGTTCTTTTTGCTTCTTCATCTCGTGAGACTCGTGAGATTACATATGAATTGGAAGACATCATACAACGAATGTCAATTAGTCAAAGGAACAAATTCCTTCTTCATTCTCCTTTTGCTTTCTCAATTCTCCTTTCCCTCTCTCCATTCTCCTTTCATCCTTTCCCCTTCCTCTTCCTCTCTTTCTCTTCCCTCAATTTCCTCTCTCTCTCTCTCTCTCTCTTGCCTCACTCCTTTCATTTATTGTCTCTCTCCCAATTCTCCTTTCATTGTTGCCCCTTTCTCAAGGGATGCAACTACCCGCTCTGCCCTTCACCCAAGCCCAGCCCTAGTCCCCAAAGGGCCGGCTCTGGGCCTGACGCCCAACCCTTACTGGACCAATAAAACTGCGCAAGGGGATAGATAAAAGCAAAACAAATCTAAAGTTTGGAAAAAAAATAAAAAAAAAAATAGAAAAAAAGGGCTAGTCCAAGACGAACTAGGATGGAGGCCCTGGCCCAGCCCTATCCTTAAGCCACAGTTGGTGGCTCAATGCCTCATTTTTTAGGGCCAAGCCACCTAGCCCATTGCCACCCATATCTCTCTCCCTTGCCTCAGATTCTGCCTTTACCATTCTCTATCTTGCCTCGATTCCCCTCTCAGCATTACCCTCTCATTTGCCCTGAAATGTGAGTTTGGCAATAAATATATTTTTTAAATATAATTTGATCTTAATTTTTAGAGTATATACAATATTTAACATGGAGATCGTGAATATAAATTTTTTTTAAAAAAAATTAAAAATAATAATTATATTAAAAAAACATTTGGACCGTTAATTACAATTGTTTTTAAATGGACCACATATTTGCGTCCATCTTTAAGATGAATGCTTTATACCTCTGGATTGCATATCATAGAAATGCGGTCCAAACCGCATGAAACCATTGTTCTTAGCTAAAATAAGGAGGTTATAATGCTTTATAGTTACACCATCCATTTCAACTAGACAGTGTAGATTTGATACATCTTGCAACATAGTGTCATCTTTGAAAAGAGTGCAAAGTCCACACATTCTAATTAAAATAGATTGCCGTCTCATGAAAATTTTCATTATTACCCCCATCTCTCTCTCACACATCATTCGTAATATCGGTCAGATTGGGGTTGGCTCCAACCTATAGGTTTTAGGTGTGTCCAGGGTGTACTTGCTATAGTGCGGCCTCCCAAAATCTATCTTGCACGTGGAGTTTAAAACTAAAATTTTGCAAGCCCATCTTTTACGCCACCACGATCATGAATTTGAAACAAAAAATGAATTTTGAGCCCTAAAATGTTATTATGTTATACTTCTTTTTGTTTTATCATTTTTTTTAGAAAAAATTTTATACAAGGTTGTAATTCTTTGTAGAAGTAAGGTGCACCTAAAAAATCCAGTAGAAAAGATGGTCCAATTGATCATCTAGATTTCGAGATGTATGGATATAAAAAAAATACAAAAAATAATTTCAAGTCATAAAAGAATTACATATTGTAAAAAATCATCTGGAATGTCTATTTTCAAATGTTTATAGATCTGTTTAATATGCGTCATTTCACAATTTTAAATTTCATAATTGAGATTGAACATGATTTTTCAAGCCAACATAAGGTTTCGGACACTACAACTACATCTTCTAACAAAATATAGGTGCGCCTTACTTGTATAGAATAAGGTGGATAACTTATACAAACATCACCCTTCGATTTACTCTTCAAAGATCATCAACCTGTATTGGTTCTGGAGTTCCCAGTTCATGATTCAAGGAATAAATGAATTTATAGTTATTTGAAAGGCGTTTCGAGTCCTACATCCATTGAAAACTTAGGACGGTCATGATTTGACTTGATCACCAAAAACTTTTAATTCATTCAAAGGAATATGACTGTAAAGCCAGACAACTCGTTACATGAGGCTTCATCCCTTCATGTGTATAAAAGTTTTACAGGGGTATCATTCGATTGATGCTCATAAATAAGGCTGTAAAGCAAGAGGAAATGGGTGAAGAAGCTTAATAATTGAGTTTTATAAGGAGCATAATACATTGAAGTAAAGCTTTGCGAAAGACAGAGGGGGGAACAACGAAGATGAAAAATAGCTTGATCCTCGCAAGTGATTGGTTATTTGTGAACAAGAGTTAAAGAAAAAAAGCTGAGAGAGAGAGAGAATCCTCTCTATTGTGATCCCTTTTGTGTGTGGGGTTGTGTACGGGTGAGAGAGATGCATATTGAAGATGAAAAATTAGGATGATCCTCGTAATTGGTTGGTATTTTCTGAATAAGAGGTAAAGAAAAAAAAGGAAATTAGAAATACCCCCCGTCCCATCCCTCCAACCAAAAATAAAAAAATAACATTTTTAGACTAAAATACCTCCATATTAACCCATATAAAAAACACTCCACCCATAATTTCAATATGAAACGGTTCAGACCCCAAAATTTTAGGTAAAATATAAAATGATCTACTTATTGACGGAAATTACAAAATAATTTGGTCAACCCACCTTTTTTTTTCAAAATCACCCCTTAGTCAACCTGGATTTTGATTTTTTTTTAGTTAGTAGGGTAGTGCCTTAAATCTTGGAGCATTGCTCTACTAATGAAAAAAAAAAAAATTAAGAAAAAATAATCAAAATTCAGGTTGACCGAGGGCAGTTTTAAAAAAAAAAGAAAATAAATGGTGGGTTCACTGACCTTTTTTTTGTAATTTCCTTCTATTAACGGAGCATTTTGTATTTATTTAAAATTTTGAAGTCAGTATGTAAATCACTCTTTAATATAAAAAGACAGTCCAACACATTTTGTGTCGAACCAGTGTGTATCGGATTAGTACATATTGAAGATCCAAAGCTTGTACAATAGTTTTTTGTGCTGGAGATTATGTCATTGTTGTTCACACCTCTAAGGCAAAACAAAAAAAATAAAATAGGTGCAAAGCCTCAGCACTTGAGAATTCTCAGTTTTCTCTCCGTAGAACACCTAAAAGCAAAGTTCAGAGAGAGAGAGAGAGAGATGGCTGATCCTGTTGTATCGTTTTTGCTACAAAAATTGGACAAACTACTCACAGAAGAGGTGCAGCTCCTTGGTGGAGTAAAGGATGACATTCAGTGGATCAAAGATGAGCTCCAAATCATGAAACCCTTCCTGAATGATGCTGATAAAATTAGAGAGAGGGACTCAGTTGTAGATGCTTGGGTTGCACAAGTGCGAGATGTCGTCTATGATGCCGAGGATGTTCTTGACAATTTCATCCTCCGCATTGCAAACATAAAAAGGAGAGGATTCATAGGCAATCTGATCACACCCGTTTCGTCTATTAAGGAACTATACATCCCGGCGAAAAATTGCATCTAAGATAAAAGAGTGTCAGAGCGCAAGCCTATGATATTGCAAATAGAAGGGGAGAGACTGCAAATACAAGACGAAGCAAGCGCTTCAAGTGCCATGTCCATAACGAGAGACTATTTACAACCTATTTTTTCTTCTGTTGAAGATGATAGCATCGTCGGAGTTGATCAGAAAGTGGAGTTAATCGAAGGATGACTACTAGAGAATGATCCACATCTCAAGGAAATCTCCATTTTAGGCATGGGTGGACTCGGAAAAACTACTCTTGCTAGAAGAATTTATAATGGGGATACAGTAAAAAAACACTTTGATTGTCATGCTTGGGTTACCGTCTCTCAATCATTCACAGTAAAAAAAAATTTTGCAGCCGCCCTCGATTCCTTTCTCAAAGATAATGAGGAGGTTTTAAAGGGCGTGGAGGGCATGGAAAAGAGAGAACTGCAACAAAAGCTTCACACGTATTTACTTGATAAAAAGTACGTTGCAGTATTAGATGATGTGTGGAGAGTGGTTCATGTTTCGTTTCCAAATTCCGAGAATGGAAGCCGTTTTATCATAACAACTCGCCGGGGAGATGTCGCCTCACCACTGTATGTAAGGAGTGAAGTCTATAAGCTCGAACGACTATCAACAGATGATGCCTGGTCCCTCTTTTTCAAGAAGGCGTTTTGGTTGGAAGATGGGAATACTTGCCCCATGGAGTTAGAGGAGGAAGGGAGACTTATTGTTCAGGAATGCGATGGTCTTCCACTCGAAATTATTGTTGTAGGTGGTATGATGTCTCGAAGAGCCCGTACAATACCCGATTGGTTTGATGCTGAGCGATGTCTTGCATGAGAATTGAGTGATCATGAGGCGGTAAGGGGCATTTTGACTTTAAGTTACAAGGATTTGCCGCCCCTCTTAAAGTATTGTTTCTTATATTGCTGCTTGTTCCCGAAAGATTTTGAGATTCGCTGTTCAAAACTGATTAGGTTGTGGGCTGCTGAGGGGTTCATTGAAGGAAGGACAGGTATGATACAGATGGAAGTAGCCAATAATTGCTTCGTTAGCTCGAAATTTGATTCATGTGACACAAATTGGTTTTGTTGGGCAGGTCAAATCTTGCAGGGTGCATGATATGGTGCGCAAGCGTGGTCTTTCTTTGTGTGAGAAAGAGATGTTTGGAGCATTTGATGATAAACAAGATAGCAAATTGGACATCAGAACCAGGCGTCTATCTATACAAAATGATGATTCCAGTTTCTATGGAGAGAAGAACATGTCTTTTCTTCGAACATTTTTTATGTTCAATGCAAGCGGCTCTTTAACACTTCCATTTGTGCTGTGCCTCATCTGTTAGCAAGCTCACGATTTTTGAGGGTCTTGTACTTAGAAGGCATCCATATCGAGTGCCTACCCGATGAAGTCGGACACCTCATTCATTTGAGGTATCTTGGACTAAGAAAAACAGGGGTTAAGAAAGTTCCCAAGTGCCTGCCTACCAGAGAAATTAGGAAGCTTGCAGACCCTAGACATGGAGGAGTTCGAGGGAGAATTGCCGAGTGGAATATCAAACATAAAAAGCTTGATATATTTGAATGTGTCCTCTCCCATTACCATGTGGTGGAGAAATGAAATTCCAGGGGGTTTGAGGGTTCCATATGGGATAAGGGAATTTAGCAAACATTGGGATACATTAGAGGTGATTCAAACAGTGTCAGTGAATTGGGGGCAAGTTGAGAAATCTTAGAAAATTGAAGATTCAGTTGGAGAGGAGTGAGGAGGCAAGGTCATTGTGCACGTCGATCCAAAGGATGGATTCACTTCGTTACTTGCATATGGCATCTCCCTCAAGTGAAACACCTCTGCATATTAATGCACTTTCACCCACCCAAACCACTCTTCAAAGGCTGGGTCTCGTTGGGCCTCTAGTAGGAGGGAAGCTACCCAATTGCGTTGCATCTCGACGGTGCCTCTGTGTGTGTGTTGGGGTTATACCACTCCAAATTGCAGGAAGACCCATTTGTTGTCCTGCCCTCCAAAGGTTGCCCGATCTAATGCATCTCTGGCAAGGTACTGCATCAAATGCAGGTAAGCATATAGGCAAATGCAGTGCAATAGCCTTTCCAAAACTTAAAAGGCTTTATCTTGAACATTTAGAAGGATTGGAAGAGTGGGGAGAAGTGGAGGAGGGAGCCATGCCATGCCATGCCATGCCTCCGAGAGCTACATATCATCGCAGCTTGCAAGAAATTGCCTCAAGGCTTACATCACCTCACCACCTTTCAAAAATTACATTACAGTCTTTATGACATGCCTCCTGTGTTCATGAAGCGGCTACATAGGGTCGAGGGCGAAGACCGTTTCAAACATCCCCTTGATTGGAAGATATTTCAAGATCCAAAGGCAATGAATGGTATCATGAAGCTGTGTAGAAGAAAGTGGTGATGAGATGTAGATGATGAGGCGAACTCTATGCTCTACTCTTTTACACTCCATCCATAATCCTTATCTTCCTAAATCGACCCTATTTTGCCCAATATATTATTTTAGTTTGATTACAAACTTCAATACGTAAGTATTCTTTTAAAGTTAATTTGATTTGAAAAAAAGAAAAGCCTAATTATTAACCTTGTTAGATCGGCTTGAATCCTGTGAATTTACAAGATTTTTGCTGAGCCTCTAGTATCCTATTATTTTGGTATTTCATTGAACAACTCCATATTTTGTAGTTGTTGTTTTTTTGGGTTAGTTTTATTTGGATTATGGATTCAAATATATGGAGTTGTTGTTTGTTTGGGTAAGTTTTATTTGGATTATGGATTCAAATCAAATTAGGATAAGATAAGTTTGCGAAAGTCATGGAAACTTTTGCGGGTTTCCTTTTCTATTTATATTGGGGTTATATTGTAGAGAGAGAAATGACTGAAAAAAAGATAGAGAAACCTTGCGGTTGTAGAGGGAAAAGTTATAGAGAGAGGCGTTGTGGGTGATCGAATTGTTTATGGATCTCTAAGGTAATAGTCATTTTGTAAATTTTTTTCTTTTTGTTAATTCAATTTTCACGCTTTTTATTTGCTAAAAATCTAACCCGTCGGATTTTAGAACTTCTGCGTACAACATACCTTTGGTACAAAAAAGTAACAATTATCACTAGCCATCAAATTGAGACCAGACAATTGTATTGTAGGTATACTACTAATCGTTTAAATCCGGGAAAAAAATTTACATCTAATGGCATGAGACATTTGTGATTTTAGTGTTTGACAAGCAATATTATCATGGTATACAAACCCTTTTAAAATAATGTTCCGATTGTTTCATTATAAATTTATTCTTTAGAAAAGGGACTGAATTAATGTTTTTATAGTTTTTCCGAAAATGGTGATTCAGATCATAAATCACCTATCCAGATTTGGGACCGGTGGTGACCAACAACAAAAATTGTTGTTTTGAAAGGTAAAGATTGGATATCGCTTGTTACACAGTACTCGCACCCTCTTATTGTTTGTTTGATCCAGTAAGGCCAGTTTCAATGTGCAGGGACGTGGGTCTAGCTACCAGAAACTTCGTATTCTTCAATCGTATTGCAACATTGCAGAACATAAAAACAGTTCTTGTGAATTTGATAAGCACATCATTATTTGGATCCATATATTGAGATATTTTCCCTATACTCTCTCTCTCTCAATTTTAATAAATTATGATTGATTGACGTTATGAATGTTCCCAACTATTGTGCTTATTTGGATTGCATGCTATGAGACCATTATCTTTTGCACACAGTCACAAACACCTCAAGCTATCTGAAGTTAAAATTCATGGTTGCATGTATCATTTCTCGACATAGTAATTGGAAATTTTGAGAATAGGGTTGGGTCATGGTGGTACCACTTGAGCCTACAGCTCTCTATTCTCACTAACACTTAAAAAAAAATTAATTCTTTCCAAAAACAAGTAAGAGCCTATAATCCCCACTGATCTACCTCTTTCCCCCACCAAAAAAAAAAAAGGAGGATGTAATTGAACAATTTATTTGGGTTTAAATGCAGCCAATGGTACACGTCAAACGACCGGATTTCACATCAAATAGCTAAGAATAATTGTGATATTGATGTACCACCGTTAAATTACTTGCTCATTTCATCTTGTCTTGATCCTATAATGCATTTGAGCCCATTTCTTGTCATCCAATGGCAAATACAAACGTAACCAAATGCAAGCATTGAGAAGTAAAAGATTTAGCCCCACCTATTGAATGTGGAGCCACTTAGTCGTAACGTGGCTTATGCTTTCAATGGGACGGCCATTGATTAGTGCACCCATCCTCTCATTAGTTGTTTCATTTGCACTTGAATGAAACTCTCTTTTCACTTAGTTGACATAAAGCACCAAGTATTTCTTACGTTTGAATTCAATGTAAAATCTGACAAAATAAGAATAGAACTGCTTATTAACCAATGCTCTACATCACTACATGAATACCATATTGTGAATATAATTCTAGTTTAGGTTGATTTCATCATGTTGTGTATCGCAATTTGCTTTTTTATTATTGTTTTAATGCTTTGAAAACAATAAGTACCCCAGATCAGTGAAGCGGATCATTCAAATCTGTGTTGAATCATTGGATCCACAACCTAGATTGGGGTCTATATCGGTCATTTTGGTGATCCAAAAAATAACAAATAAATAAATAAAATAAAATAAAATAAAATTTGGAGTTTATGGGGTGAACATTTAAGGAGACTTAAGAAAAGCTTAAAAAAGAATATATATATATATATATATATATGGGGTTGGGGGGTTGAGGTCGTGGGAATTGGGCCC